ATAAGATCTGACTGTTGAATTAATTCTCTTGGATTGTAGTCAAGAGATGAAAAGAAGAATCATTTACAGGAAAAAACTTCACCATCAACACTTGAAATTGTCTTTGACCAGCTGTTCTTTTTTTTTATATTCTTATCAGCCATTCTTGCGTTTTTATCAGCGATTCTTTTTTGTACTCTTATCAAGGATTCTTTTGTTTTCTTTTGTTGTGTTGCATTGTCGTTCGGTATTGAAATGACTAGAACAAGAATGAGAAGCCTAAGGCTGCAGTTTAACGACGAGGGTCAACTTGTTGTTGCCAATTAGAGAAGGCTCGTGTATTCACTCAATATGCTTGGTCGCTGCATAGCTGCTCATGTCAAAACAAGTCAAAAATCGGTCTTGTTTCATATCCTTCAAATCCTGTTCACAAAAACAGTGTTCTTCTTGTCTGCGAGACATGTTACTGTTATCGTGCATCAGGACATGGGACATAACAGAGACAATTGGCTGACTCGTACTTTCGCATCTATGGTGATAAAAAATCGTTCAGTTTCGCCTCTGAATTTTCTCTCAAATTTTGATGGTCAATTTGGTTTTAATAGCGGTATTTTTAATGCCTCGAGTACTTGTCCTTATTATATGGATCACCGAATAATGAGACAGCTGGAACAAGATGTGGTTCGAAAAGTGATCGAAGGGAAATTAGACTTTTACGGTCTCGTCCACTAACAACGTATATGTATATTTACTGAGTAAGATGGATTAGATTCTCTCATGCTCTTCGAACAGTATTGATACTCTATTCTAGAGAACTGTCGACATGGCTATCGCGCGTACATGTCAAAAGAAAATTGTCCTTCTAATCGGTAATAATGTATATTTGACCGAGGAAGTACTTAAATGTTGCATCAATGATGCTCACGATCTCTCAGACAATCAATATAAAGCTCAGTCGACGTAAAGATGAGAGATCGAAAAAGTAGCACTCGAGACATAACATCAGCCGTAAGAGGTTACAATCGGACAATAGGTTTTTCTTTTTTTGAAAGTTTGCTGTGCATGTTCGATTTTCATAGACATTGATGTATTGAATGGTTGCGTTGCTCCCATATCTTGTTCTTCAGGCGTCAAACACATTAATAACTTGTACTGTTCTAGATTGTCTGTCATAATATCAGGGCAACGTTCAACCATTTCAAATGTTACACAATGTCGGATATCTTGATCATTTAATTCGCTAAAGTGTTCAGCGAACAGTTTTTCTATCCAATCAATGAACTCCTTTGTAACATTGCCGTTTATCGAAAATTGTCCATAATAATATGTGAGATACTTGACCCCTATCAAATAGAATGATTCAATTATATACAAATAGCCGACAATTCGATGACCATTCTGCACACATTTTTCTAGTCTGGCAGCCTCATGATCATTGCTTTTTCCAGTAGTACCTTAAAAAGAAGCATATGACTTCATCAATACTAAGACCACTGTACTTCTTGTCTTGAGATCGTCGCACCATTGAATCATCAGTTCATTTGCCTCATTTGCGGAGAACAAATCGATATTGTCGATGAAGCTCATAACTAGAGCAAATTGTTCCCATGACATGTATTTTTTCTCGCCGATTGCTGTCACACCGAACGCAGTGAGGATTACATTGCCGTCCAGTGGCTAAATGATAGTACGCTCGAACAAAGCATCAGCCATCGTTTTGGTCGCCTGCCTCGTCAAAACACCAATAATCAAATCACCAGACACAGTTCCGTAATAAAAAAAATAAAAATAACAGAAACTAAAGATTGATTTTTGGGACGCATCAAAACGTTCAACTTAGCATCGAACACCTGGACTGCTTTACTTTGTAAACGCCATGTAAAGTTATGAGGTCGACCATATAGAGTCAGCAATTGACTTTGGCAGTTGTTGGTTGCTCACGCTCGATATCCTGATGGCGGCAAAATATAGCCCATATCCTTGAGTACTACATCAGCTTTGTCAGTAATCAGAAATCGTGTGCAACCGCAAAGACTGTTCAACAAGCCGATTTAGGGGTGATCCTTTAGTATTACTTTATGAAATAGAGATAAAGAAATTCAGAGTCGGAGAATCTGAATCTGTAATCGGTTTTTCGAAATTTTGACTTTGATCTTTTTCAAAAAACTTTGTTTTACGAAAAGTCGTTGTTTTTACTAAAAATCGTTTTTCCACTAAAAAATTAATTTTTTGTAAAAATCTCTTTTTGAAAAAAGTGCTTTTTTTTATCCAAAAGCTTTTTTTGCTTAAAATATGATTTCTAGTAAAAAAAATGACTTTTTTTTGAAAAAGATCCAACTCAGAATTTCGAAAAACCAATTACAGATTCAAATTTCCTGGCCCGATTACTTTCGGTCGAACTTTATAAAAAATCATTATTTTTCAAAAAACCCTCTCCCTGATGAAGAAAATGAAACTCAAAATACCTCTCCTATGTGAGACAGGAAGACCGCTCACGCTCATGAGAGTAAGCTGTTACATCCCTACTTAACACTTCATTTTAAGAATTAAGTGTTTACTTAAAAATAACTGTTAACTTAATACTTAATGTTAAAAAATAAAGCAGTGATCATTAAACTCTTTTTTATTAATATTAAGTGTTAAGTAAGAACTATAAACTTAAGTTAAAGTTAAGTTAAAAGAACCATCCCTAGGCCCTAGAACTCTTCCGATCACATTGTCCCTTGTACAAGTATCCTTTATTTATTTATTTTATCTTTTTTTGTTAAAGACAAAGGATTTCTTTATCTTTATCCTTTATTATAAAGGATAGTAAAGATAAAAGGTCACTCCTAAGCCGGTTGGCGTATTTTCATTAAAATAGATTATTTGATCAACTTCTACTCTTTCCTGTCGCGACGACTTGAACTTGTGCGGTCGCCAAATGAGAGCTTCGTCGATTGCATTCCGAACCAAATCCAAGATAGGTGATTTTTCATATGCTACAAGAAACCAACATCCATATCCACTAATAGTTTGCAGGCAATATCTTACAGGATTGTACAACAACAATATTATACAAATTTATCGGTAGCGTCACCTTGTTGCCCCAATAAACTTTACTATTTTCACATACGGCTGCAACAATATTGAGCAAAGCCACCACCACCATTGCTTCGTCGTGTATTTGGCTGCAGCTGATACAAGCTATAGCTGCGGACAAAAGGCTAGCCTGACATTGAGTACTTTTGCTCCATTGTTTGCACTCTCAATATACACTGAATAATCAGATAATAGTCAGAGGAAATGTCGTCAGGATACTACCGAACGGGTCGTCAAAGACAAGAAGCTGTTATCTACTTGTTCGGGTCCAAGTAGATAACAAAACCCAGGGCAACTTTTGAAAAAAACCTTTTTTTTGAAAGCCAAAAAGAAACGATTTGAACAGAAACTAGTCATTTGTGTTGAACATACATCTAAGCATATCGAAAACGCGGTGAGAACTGTGAAAACACTATTTTTCGACATCAAACCTACTCATTTATTGCTGTTGAATTCAATATTAGGGATTTTTTTTTTGCTTTTTTCCTATTATTAAATTCGACGACAATACAACTATCGGTTTTAAGTCAAAAATAATATTTTTACCATTTCCATCACCTTTTCGATATGCTTGAATGTGTGTGCAACGCAATTAACTGGGTTTTGTTAAAATTGTTCTTTTTATCTCACAAAAACGCTTTTTTACGAGCGGTGCTAGAGTTTCTTGTAGGCTTGGATCGGTCCATTTTATGCAGCCGCCATGACTGAATAGTTACTGACTACGTTGTGACATACATCGGCCCTTGTGGCTAGTATGTGGCAGCGGTAGATTCTCAGCCGCGATGGACATCCATGGTATGTGGTTAATTAGTATGTATGGGAAGCTCAAGCAATTGAGCGGAAGAACCCTGCGTCAGATTGGCCTTCTGTCCAGAGCTACAGCTAATCATAGATGTAGAAAAAATATCGAGCTATTGAATCTGCTCCTAGACAGCACTCCATACCGCAAGGTAGCCGAAAGCCAGGGGTATCCTTGTTCTTTCATCTTATGCATTCTCGAAGCTCGAATACAGTGTCTTGGGGGCACCTGCCTAAGAACTTAACCACTCAATTATGACAATCTTGTGCGAATGTGATGTCATAGAGGAGTGTCTTAGAGTGTTAATATGGTTTAGAATTTGTTTCTGTTCTCTTGATATTCTTTCATAAAGTTCCTTCGAAGTTTTCAAATAGTATCCTAAAAGAAGTGATGACGAAACTTTTATCTATTTTCAATTGTATATGTGTTTTCAGATTTTCGGTTTGATTAGGTACACTATCAAGGCAGACTAGGTATGTCAGCTGATAAAAGTGACTCGGATATGTTTTCACTCATTTGGCTTGGAAGAGAATCTGAAACTGCGCCAAAAGTCAAATTCACAAATAAATTCACAAATTTAGTTGAATTTGAAGAATACATTACGAATAAAACAAACTCTCGTATAATAATGCTTTTATCGGATGATATACCGCTCAATAGCATGTTAATCAGTCTACCGCAGATCTGTGCCATTTATAATGAAAAATTCGTTTGTTTGTACTGTCTACCTACAATGGCATTGTTTGTTCATATGTATATGAAGAAAAATCAAGAAAAGAAACCAAAGCATTGTGTTATTTCATTATGTCTATCGTATTTATTGCCTATTATTCGCAAATATTGGTTTCTTATTGGATTGGGTTGCGTTATCGGTCTGGCATATGCATTTCCGAATGTGGGCAAAACCGGTGGCTATATTCACTCTGAATGGTCCGTTAAATGGGGATGTGTCATACTAATTTTCTTTTTAAGTGGTTTGTCGCTTCGAACAAAACTACTTGCTAAAGAATTTCTTCATATACGCCTTCATGCCGTCGTCCAGATCTATAGTCTACTGATCATTCCATTTACAATTTATGGTTTAGGATTGTTACTAACAAGATTGCCGATCAACAAAACATTAGTCGCTGGAATCGTTATAATGGCTTGTACATCCACAACTATTTCCAGCAATGTTGTCATGACTAAAAATGCTATGGGTAATGAATATTCAGCACTGCTAAATGCAGCATTGGGCAATGTTTTGGGTATATTTATATCACCGGCTCTTGTCTTCTATTTTATGAGTAATCCTATTGTTAATTCTTTGTCAAGCAGTGCTAGTAGTGGTAAGAGTAGTCGACTAGACTATGGAAATGTTATGAAAAACTTGGGTTTGACTGTACTTCTACCTTTATTTGTCGGACAAGTCATTCATTTCTTATGGACAAAACAGGTTGCATATGTACGAGAAAAATTTCACTTTTCCGAACTCAATAGTCTAGCTCTGTTAGCACTAGTGTGGTCGGTATTTTGTACAGCTGTTGCCACCGAATCATTTCACACAATAAACGGAAAGGATCTTGCCGCCTTGATTATTATTAATGCTGGAATATATATTATTTTTTCACTATTAATCATGATCACTGCACGAATACCCATTCGATATTGGCAGTTTTCACGAGAAGATACGGTAGCAATCATGTTTTGTGGTGCCACAAAAACTGTAGCCATGGGAGTACCATTAATAAACATTCTCTATACTGGTGGAGATCAAGAAGTAATTGGTTTACTTTCGTTACCATTGATAATGTATCATGTTGAACAATTAATTTTGGGTGCCATTGAAGCATTGTTGCTGAAAAAATGGGTGACAACTGGAATTAAGAAACAGTCAACAATGGTAAACGATAACATAGTGAAGCCCAAGACGTGCCAGCTAACAACAATAAGTATAAGACCTTGAGAGATCATTTGTTTACCTGTCTTATGTGTCGACTGACATGAGAGCAATTCAAATGTTTAAAAATTCATGAAGTCACGGCTACTGACTGAAGATATTTTTTTAGCCATTGTATTGATTGAATGAAGTCATTAACTAGAGTGCGAGTGCATGTAGATGTGGGTGTATGGGGATGGGGGTAGGTGTGTTGATGTGTGCGGATACGGGAGTGAGTGTGTGGGTGTGTGTCTTCTCTTTATCTACACTCAAATCCACACCCTTAAATAAACACGCCTATGAGTTATTGCCGGTTCTTTTAGATCAGTTGTTCTATGGATAAATCTAATGCAATAATGTTATGTTGTCGTTGTCTGTTTATATACTAGTGATAGCGTTAGAATAGAGAATATATTTAGTTTCATTTTTTATCAATTAATCGAGTAGTTATCGGAAGGGAGAACATGACGAGAGTGTAACCGGAAAGAGAAGAAAAGAAAATATGTGGATGGAAAGCATTGAAGCAAAGGCAAAAAATATGATTGCCAGGTATCTGGTCATCATTCTTTTCGTTTTCTCTCTTATGTGAAACAGTTACTAAAAATAGCCCTCGATAGAACACAAGTATGAATGATTCAATCATGCATTATCAAGAGAAAAATAAGATTAAATAAAATTTCAAGCACCTGTATTATGAGCCATCGATTTTATTAGTTCTAAATAAACTATAGAACAATAAACATGAATCCGAAACTGAAACATAACGTCGTTACAGAAACATAGAATTATTTTATTATACATAATATGAACAAAAAAAAACATATTGGCACTACAGAGAGGTTGTAACTATTATTTTGTTGTTCGTCAGCTGTATTTACTGCTATCGTCAATTATTTCTGTATTGCCTGATCACGTTTAAGGAGCATGATGAGAATGAATGCTCCACAAGCCTAGAAAAAATTTATGTACAAAAAAAAATTTGTGCAAAATGTTACAAGAGCGTTTATGTCTTTGATGTGCGTATTGTGTAATTCGTCTTTATTTTGATGAGCTATAATATTTAATATAAATGCGTAGTTAAGAAAAAAAAGGAAGAAAACTTTGTAGAATCGAATGTCTCATAAACAATCTACTTTAAAAAAAAGTAAAAAAATATCTTCACCGTATTTTGATTAAACGAGTTCAGTTTTTTTGTCGTAATGATAAAGGACAGTTTCAAGTTTTTATTAATGAACAAAAACTTTAGTAACATCGCTAAGAATTAGATATGGACAAGATGGTTCGAGTCTCGGCGGAACCGAGGTTGGAACCAAAAACTATTGGTTTCACTTATGCCTATTTAGAACTATTATCGTGTAGTTAAAAGAAAAAAAATTGATACTTGCTGAGAATTCAATAAAAGGAATTTTCAATTCACTCACACATCTCACTCCCACAAACTTATAGCCAACATCATACACCGCACTACTACACCCTCATCCTCATCTCCACGAACATCACATACTTAAATCCCACACTTCACTGTTAGCGTCAACAGAGGTCGCCCTATTACCGCTAACTGACTAGTTGTTTTGGGTGTGGGTGTCTGGATGTACTCAGCATCATCCACATCCACATCAACACCCACACCCACACCCTCAACGAAATTTCAATAAAAGTAGTATTTGGGAAAACAGTCCAATGAGTTCAGTGAGACCAAATGCAAAACTTTTAAATTCAAGATGATATATCTCTTTCTTGATCCATGAAGATACCTCAGATACAAAAAATTGCGAAGTCAGATGTGGACATTTCCAACTAACAGAAAAGCTCACAAAGATATTTCCAAAAATGCACAAGTGCCGCTGGATTCTAATTTTGTGAAATGAACAATATTGAAACCACTTTTGTACCTTTATTACGTCAAGACAAATGATTTATAAATGACTAATTTTTTTTTCCTTACATATTGAAAGAATAGAAAATATTTCAATTTTATTTATTGATATCGTTGATATTTTTCAGATGCCATCAAATATAATTACGTCACAATGAGCTTCATTATAATCAGATTTCCATGGAAGATTGAATGATTTAGATGTGCAAATGTCATCTGAAAAAATTGCAACTGGAATAGATTGTTGTTATTGTGTTAATAATTATCTAAAATCGCGACAAGGTACTGCAAAATCTTGTTTTAAAATGGATGTAATCTATGATTCAGACTATTAAAGAATCTAACCAAGATAATAATGAACATGTTGATATAAAACTTAGTATGCATTCTGGTTCAGAAAATTTTCAAATAGAATATACGAATAACTGGCGATGCTTCCATAACTTCTTTTGTTTTTTTGCTAAGTAATGTTAATTAAAGAAAATGTTTCATTTAGGTCATGTGCATATAAAAAAAAATCAATTTATTCATTAGTCCGATCAGATGAGTTAAATTTGAAAGTGGTGGTGAGTGTGAGCATGATTGTAGTAGTTGTTTTCTTTTCATTCGTAATCACTTGCACACAGCTCAGACCTATACTTTTTACACCCCACGCCCTCACTCATTTTTCTAAAATTCTTACTCTATGTTTTACTCATTCTCTTCAAAATGAAATTTTAAATTGTAAAAGCTTGAGCTTTGTATTTAGTGAATTTTCTCTAAAGACACGCAAAAAAATCAATCAAAATAACTAATGCAATTATGAATTGTATACTATTTGTATTCATACCCTAACTTTCTAACCCATTGAAAGTGAACCCTTTGAAGTTCACAAATTTGCGATCAACAGTGTCGCCTAGGTGGAAATATAGCAAAATCAAATACACAATGCCATGGATGCCATATTCTAAATTCTGTTAAAATGTAATGTGTCATATTTAAAGAACAATGTATTTTTCTCGAAAAAATGTTCTTGAGCAAGTTTCGTTGGTCGACTAAACATATTTTAACATTTTTTGAACATAAGAGCATTATAACAGGTTTTCTTGAATGTTAAAAAGGGCGTAGTTCCAAGTTTTAGTCGCTAAATGTATTGAAACCAGTCAACGTTACTACAAACACATTATACCTTCTGTAACATATCATGTAAACAAGTAATATTGATTTTCTTCTTCTGATACCGAAAAAAAACACATTAAGATACCATCATGGTGTTTTTTTTATTTTTACCTGGGTAGGAAAGTATTGAAATATGAATCATTTCTTATAATTTTTTCCCGTTGCTTGCTGCTTTCATTTCACTAAACATTATTGATATCGTCGGTTGATTTTGCCATCATGACACGTGCAGCTTCTTTCTTCGACTTCTTACCTGTCGAAATTGTACACATAATTTTTAGCTATTTGCTGGCTCATGAAGTTCTTTTATCGTTTTCAAATATTAGTGATCATATTGATAGTGTTTTACTCTCATATACATCATATAAAATCAATTTCAAATCAATTTCTAAGTCTTATTTTGATCTTGTTTGTCGTCGAATTCGACCTTCACAAGTTATCACACTGATTCTTTCCGATGCTGATGATACACCAGGACAATCTGCATTGTTTCTATCATATTTTCGGATTGAACAATTCACTCAACTTCAATCATTAATATTAATCGACATTGAACTTGACTCATTGGATTTGATCTTTTCAAACTTACATCATCTTCAACGACTAAATACATTTACATATGATTCGAAGACGATAAAAGCACACTACTATGATCAGAATCTTAATTATTCAGATTGCATCAATCGATTGCATAGTTCCTTATCGAGAGGTGTTATTCCAATAATGCTTCAAATGAAACGACTAAGTTTATCCAATTTCAAAATTTTACCTCCAATGCTACTTCCATGTCTACGTCATTTGAAAATAGAAAAAGCAAGAATTGATGAGTTTCAAATGATTCTCTCTCAAACACCACATCTATTCTCGCTGAACATATCTCTTCAAGGTCAAGCATCACACAATGAAAACTTCTTACTGTTATCTCACTCGGAATTAAAATATCTTACTCTAAAAATTCTCAGTAAGTACAATTGTAATAACAAAAAAAAAAAAGGAGTTGAAGTATTGTGTGATGTGAACATTTGGTCTTTTATTTGTATTGATAATTAATAGACTCACAAGTTTCAATGGATCAACTTGAACAATTATTGCTGAAACTAGTTCATTTAACACATCTTGAATTGTATGCCATTGGTTACAATGATTTGGCTGATGGAAATCGTTGGCTAATTATGGCAAGTAGTCTCACTATGTTGAACTTCAAGATTCGAATTATTGGGACATTGACTAAGCAGAATTTCGAATCATTTTGTACTTCATTTTGGCTTGTCGAGAAACGTTGGTATGTGGCTTACAATCAACGTTTTCTGTTCACAGTACCTCACTTTACTCCTGCAGACCTTAACGTTGATCAACTTCTAGATTCAATTCCTTGGACAACATTTAACACAAGAATGTTCTACAAGCAAGTTACTAAAATCAACCTCGCGATGGTGTCGTCTGATAATCCATTGAGTTTTTTCTTTAACCCGATGTTGTTACCTACATATGACCTTAACCTTCTGATAAGAACCATTGCAACAAGGATTGACCTTTGTCAAATACAATCGATGACTCTGTTGTCACTAGAGGATATACAATCGCTAGAACCATACTTATCTAGAATGTCTCATCTTCATCAATTATCCATTAAGCAACATATAGAAGGAGATTCGATTGATAAAATCCGAGATCATCAAATGGGACAAATTCGAACACTTGAAATTTATCTTTCCACTCAATACACGAGTTACATTATCGAAATATTGTTCCGTCTTTTCCCGAATATAGAACATTTACGTGTTTCATCCATCAGTTCGAAAATGGATATGATTCGTTTGATTGATGGATTTAAGTATTTGTCCGATGCATCATTTATGATTAATTCAAAGTTCGGTAATATTGACCGAAGCTGGTATTTTCAACCAGAAAAATTGATGTCTGACTCGCGACGATTGAGTAAAGATGCTTACACATGTCGATTGAATCGTCTGATTGATGAACAATCGTCTATTACTATACAGGTTTGGATTGGAACTCAAGTAAGTTTGTCTTGTGCATACTAATAATTTTTGACATCATCTATTTTTGTATTATAATTTAGACACGAAAACCATCTAGATTTATTCAATGGTCACCACGACGAGGATATACTTGGTATCGATTGATACACATTTTTTTCCAGCATTCTTATGCTACATTTTCAAATTATCTACAAGTTACAAGTTATATTTCTGTCACCGCTATGTTTGCTGTCGAGCTAATCTTACCACACATTTCCCTCATATCTAATACCATATGGCTTGTTTACATTGCTCTCTGCATAATATCTGGGATTGTAAGTGGTGTTATTCTTTATTGTCTTCAATCTCGAGTGGAAAAATTAAAAATCACCCTTCATCTCTCCTACGTTGTAATAGTACTAAGCATCTTTTTAAATAAAGACGACTTTCGTTGGATTATCAGTTTTGTATTAAATATTTTGAATAAGGTTGTTACTTTTTTTAAAAGCGATACTTTGTTATTTCAAAATAAACAGCATTAAAAGATATTGAATTTGTTATCATTGGTATGAAAAATTTTTGACAAACGTACATTAGAATGCTGTGTTTTGACCACCGTGCATGCATTCATTAGACTTTAAATGTACTAATGCAAACATATTGAAAGCCGTCTCTTGTTCCATAAAAAATGCAAACAAATCGTTTAAGAGCATGTTTCACACAATATTTTTTATTGGTATGGAAATGCTTTTTTTTTCCTACAAACGTATTTTTCTACTAGGATGAATACTATCACAATTTATTGACGTCATTATTGAGACAACAGATTATAATAACAAATATAACGAAACAAAAAAGGGGGCAATAAAATTGAACAACAACTATTACTGATGCTGGACAAAAATCGTGTTTAATGAGAAAGAAAAATTATGTATTTTAGACCACATTATTCGTCGAATAAATATGCTATAGAAAATCTTCAAGTTTGTATAAAAGCTGAAGCTATTCACATTCCTCGGTGGTTCATACAAGAAGTCAGTAACGAAAAAATGAAAGCTGTGCGGAGTGTGAGTGCAACACTGCAATTCAAGTCAAGTACCAAACCCTACAGCAACATCCTTACAGTAGGGAATTCAACAGTTTTCACACAACTTAGAAATTCCGATTTATAAGTTTTTAAGCAGTTATATGCTTATAAGCTAATAAAATCGTAGTTATAATATGAAAGAAGTTGATCGTATTAAAAGTCCGTACTCAAACCTGTAATTTTCAAAACCAATTAGGAGTCCAGAGCCCTTTTATTCTGTAGGAAGGGGAGTTCACTTTAAAAAAGCGGAAGAGAATTTGAATAATATTAGTTCTACAACGACTTTCAAAACTAAGTACAACTAATTCAATTCGATTCCAAGCATTATATAAGCGAATTGACATATTTTCTTTAAATCTCATGCAAATTATTTTCTGACGGTTTTTTTACGATTTCCAAGAGGTTTTGTGAAAAACTCACAAGCAGAAAATGCTGGTTAAATTTTAGTTTTTGAAGCCCTGTGACTTTTCCTATGGACTTCTGAAATAGAGAACACATCCTGAATGTTCTAGCAAGTGCGTTTCATGCATTTCCTCAATGTAGTGTCTCGTGAACCGCTCTACGAAGGAAGAAAGACAGAATTTTCAAAGTTAAACTTTGTCTTCCGTTTTTTTCCATTTTGCTTTTGTTCGTGCGCCTCAGATTTTCTCAGCCATTTTACATACTAGAAAGTTTTGAAAGGTTTTTAATTGAAGAGAAACTTATGCTACACAACTTAAAAGAGCTTGATTTTAATTTTTGACTTAATTCTTGAGAAAAATAGATCGTTTTCTATCGGAGTATCCCTATTTTTTCGAAGTTTTCAAGAAAAACTGACACGAAAGATTAACAAAGGAGAATTTAAAAAATCAGGCTATGATCAGTTGTAGCAGCAAGGGTTGACTACATTTTGACACAAACTCGAGATCTGTATCATTCAATTTTTGGAAGAAGTCTCGGACGCACGGAGATCTATTTTTGAACCCTTGATATAGAGATAATTCTTGAAGAACTCAGTATTTCAGCCAGGTCGATTGTTCTGGGACGAAAATAGATTTTTCACAGGGGATCTTAAGGGTGTGGATATGGATGATGACTGACACTTAACTTACATTCACACCCTTTTCAAAATTGTTCAAAGAGATTTTTTTAATCAAATTAAGCTTCTTCTATTCATCAGTGCTTGATTCTTTTGTTACACAACTATTTTCTTTGTAATATTCAAATACATTTTACTATAGTATATTTTAAAATAATTTATTTACAAAACATCTATTTGAGTGATATATTTTTGATTGTCACTCTACTAGGCGTCTTTCTAAATGTTAGCAGGTTCTCACATCGTGAAATGATGTTTTAAGTAAAAATATTAATCCAAATATTTCTTTCATTTACTTAGGAAATGGTTTATTCTTTCATTAATGCATACGACATAAATAGTATTGTTATGTGTTTGTAAAAGAAAACATTTGTTCAATAGAAGAAGAATAAAATCTAAATGCATTCGAACTATGTTTTATATGACGTTGATTTACCGAAGTAAAACGCCTTCTCTCTTACACACTTTGAAATGATATTTCTAGATAGTAGTTAAAGTTAAATAACCCTTTATAGACAAAGATCAATACAAAAATAGAACTTTTATCCACAAGCTAGTGCTGAAGCGCCGTTCTATACAAAATGCTTCTCATGTTTTTGCCTTTAATTTTTTTTTTGTATAACCAACAACATAAAGCTGTGTATCACCAATTGAATATCTATTTAAAGCCTCAACAGCCTATAATATTATTATAAATATAAATAAAAAATAAAAATATTTTATGTTTTTTTTCTTCTTTACTTGCTTAGCTTCTTCTGGATTTTCAAAACTGCAAAATCCAAAACCTTTTGACTGCCCATCATTACTTTTTACAACCTATATTAAATTGAAAAATTATATATTATTTTTCTAAGAGCAAAATTAATCTACCTGAAAGTTTAAGATTTTTCCATACTTTGAAAAAATTTCACTTAGTATTTGTTTATCTAATCGATCATCAAAATTTGTTATAATCAAATCAGTAAATTTAAGTGCTTTTCCAGAATCAGCTTCTTGATTATGTGGTTTACAACGCACAACATAAATTTTCTTGCCACCTAATAACATACCATTGAGTTTATCAATAGCATTATCGACTGCTTCTTGCGTTTCAAAATGATTGCCCATTTTCATCTTTAATGATCTATTCATGACATAAAAACTATCGTATTTAACGGATATCTAATTTTACTTTGCAAGACAAAATATTTCCAAAAGCTGAAAATGTATCATACAGTGATTGATTATCAATATTTGTATCTAAATTTGTAATAAATACATCCCGAACATCTGTTTCACGTAAAACGGAGTCACATTGAAACCACATGATATGTAATGGACGACCACAAAGTAAATCAAAGTTCATGGTATCGATTGCTCGTTCGACTAAAAGGATGGATTATTTTTATTTGCTGACTGATATCATGCATCAAAATCAGTTTCACTAGATTTTGGTCATGTCTTTCAATTCGAATAAATAATAGAAAACAATCATTCTTTTTCTTTTTCTAATTTTATTCGAATATATATCAACTACTTGATAAAATTATAAAATTTGACATAAGCACAGCCAAGTGATCGTCGTGTAATCAAATTACGACAGACTCGGATCGATAGTATTGATCCGACACTTGCAAATTTGTCAAATAACATTGCTTCGGTGGCATTCGGATGAAGATCATCTTTTATTTAAAAGAAATTTAAAATAAAAGCAACAATATTCAAATTTATCAATATATAATGAGGCTATTGGATGGTTTGGAACTCGTGCTGAATCATGCAGTGGTGCCGCCATATATTTTTCTCGTGTAGTGCTTTTTTTTAAGTTCGTTAAGGGTGAAAAAAAAGGTTGATAGCGTAGGTAACGTATTTGCTGCTTTTGAAAAAGGATGTTGCGTTACTTTTATTCAGGAGACGGTGCAATTACAGAGCGATTCGATCGTGTTTTTTTACGTCGTTTTTACCCGCAAAAGATTGCAGACGCACACTCCGACGACGATAAACATACTTTTATGACATGAACGTGAAGGAAGAAAAAGATCTTAAAAATCTGTATTAAATAAAACTGCTTTTGTTTAGATATCTTCAATAATTCGACTTTTTGTTATTCAAAGAACAAAAAGGGAAAAAGATATTTACCATCCACTATTGTGACCGTAGTATCTTATAGAAGAGAGCTTCAGAGAACTTTGAATCAATCACAACATTTGCTCGACTCGTTAACGTCTGTCTTCTATAAAATTTCCAAAATTTTCTGATGCATTGTTCTCCAAAAAACATGAAAATGAAAGTACTCTTAATTAAAATTTAATACTTAATCACAATCATATTTTAGGGTGGGTGTGGGTTTCTTTACGAGATCAATCACACCAACACCAATACCCACACCCTCTATGATCGAATGTTTGATCAAGATATTGGGAATCGATTTTTTTCGAGAATCATGGTAACTCTGATGAAAAAAAGATTTTCGAAGGTTATTTGCCTGATTTCTTTTCGTGCAAACAGACTTCGGTAAATCTTGATCGAAAGTATCAGTTCGAGATCAATCGATCTTAATGCCATGAAATCAGAATAAGAGTTCTGGTTTTTTTTGTAGAACTCACATTTACTATCGAAGAAAATAATGGGCATAAATTTCAAGTCTGATCACTATTTATAAGCAAATAAATCTTTCATTGTTTCACTTCAATTGTTTCAGATTTTAAATATATTTCATCAAACTTTTTAACGAAATTATTCCAAATGTTAGCTCGAAAGGACTTGGGCTTTATAAACGCTTTTTTTGAAACTTTTCTGATTTGAAGTTATTTTGAAGCCGTTATATGGATATTTTACTGCTCGTCTGTGATTGTAACAGAACTGTGAACTTTTTCGAGTTCCATAGTTTTGTGTACTTATCGTAATCTGTGAAATAAATCCTTATTAGTTCATTTTGACTTTTTTCAGCTAATTCCATACAAAATGTAATCGATATCGGATTCATGTGACAGACCGGAAAAAGTAAACAAAACTATGTTACTCGTGAAACATCAAATTTCTCTTACATTCGTAGACAAACAGTAAGATTTCTTCGTACACTTTTCAACGATCTATAGCATCGACAGACAAATCATATGCTACGTCTTTTACTAGTATCACCTAGTATATGTCATGCAAATATGAGTTTTTAACTGATCATGTATGAAAAAGAAACCAAAAAATTTCTGTGCTTTCTTAGGGTGTGGGTCAATCTATATAAATTTTCAACAAAGGTTTCGGACAAAAAAACATTGAATAAAAATAAGTGATTGAAGATTAGGATAATAAAGAATATTTCTCTTATTATTACAACCGCTTTACTAAATATCGCTATTATTGATCAAACGATATGTGTCATTGATGTGAAAATCTTCTGTATTCAAATAAAATGTCTACCTTTCTAAAAGAGAAACATAAGATGAATGAATCATTATAAGACATAAAAAGAGAACGCGAAAAAAAAGACAACTACCTAACAGTAGGATTGTAGGTTTTTGTTATCTTTCTGTTATATTACTCAAGAGGAAAAAGAAAATATAACTACGCGTTCTGCTAAAAACATATGAACAAGAATACTTCAATCATTTTTTTTCCATCAGAAAATGAGGAGAAAAAGGTTTTTGACATATAGTATTCATATTATGGGAAATGGATATTTGTTATATACGATGACAGTAGACATGTATTGTATATCAGTCAAATGCTTCGTAATCTGGCAAAAAGAGAGATGAAGTGAGCTTACCACCGTAAGAATTTTTCAATTCAAATCGAATTATTCTATTAAGTATTCATCGGGGAGATCATCTTATCAGATTCGGTATGATCTTGTCTTTTGCTTAAACACTAGTATTCCAGCAGAGTTGAACGCGTCAATGCTGTCGTTTATCAGTTTCAATAGTGCTTTATGAATAGCTTAACTTGACTCTTATTATATTGGTATTTTATTTCAATAAAAATACAACATGCATGATTCATAAATGAATAAAAATCCATGACAGTCATATTAGAAAATAAAAAATAAAAAAATAATGTTAACTATTCATTTTTTTGTTGTTTTTTTCTTCTAAATTCAAAATTAAAAAAAACAGTAGAATAGAGTGAGATGTATATGTATGTTCACATGTTTAGCGTCGTTGATAAAAACGCACCCAATCAATTTCCATTCGACGAGGAAAAATATTGTTATCGATACCTTGTGAACCACCCCTAAAAATGAAATCAATATGTTTTGAAATCTTGTGAGATATGTCTCTTCTTCTCTTATTTCAAATACTATTGACAGTTTCTTTTTTTTTCAAGAGAGTATTTGAAATTTTGAGACATAATCAAACATAAAATTCCGATTTTTAAAAGATTAGCATCTCAAGATTGATATACTCACCAACTACCACCTACAGCAATGTTGATAAGAATAAAGAATGGCTTATCAAATGGCCTAAACATAGTGAGAGTTTTTAAAAAAATTATTTGTTTCGAATATTTTCATTGCTGAAACTGATATCTCACCATTGTGTCCAATCTCCTTGTTTATTCCACACTAAGATACGATTAGCAAATGGATTTGCATCATCTCCCACAAACATTTCAATTTTATCAACATTCCAATCAAGTGTATAAATTTTAAAATTTGTAACAGCATCATTAACAATTATGGAATTAGTTGGTTGATTGCCTTTCATGTGATTATATGCTTGTGTGTGTACAGTTGAGACAACACGCAATGGATCATAACCAACTTGTTCCATCAAATCGATTTCACCATTATCTGGCCAATAGGTATTACTGTATGTTTGCTTTTCCGGCAACTATCATATATTTTATATAGATTAAATAAAAACGAAATTTAAGAAAAAGTTACCATCCAAAGAGCTGGCCATAGACCACGACCATCAGGTAATTTAGCACGAATTTGTAAACGACCATATGTCCATTTAACCTTGCTCTTGAGACGAGCTGAAGTATATTGTCTATTTCCCATGTTTTCCTGCAACAAAAATATATATGTAAGATAGATTTAATACAATGTCTTGCTCTTTTCTTACTCGACGTGCTTCAACAATCAAGCGACCATTTCTACTACCGGGAAATAGTTCACAACGTGCATTTTCCAATCGATTATTTGTATAATATTGTTGCTCATTATTACCTAAATTAGTAACATATATACATGATACATAAGAATAAGATAGAAATTGAACAAAAACAAAACTATTTACCCCAGCCATCTCCACCGACATCAAACTCCCATCTATTAGGATCGACACCACCATTCCAATCAAAATTATCTTCCCATACACGAGTCCAGTCAGAATTGCTGTTTTCTAAAGAAAGATATATCATATTAAACGGTAGATTGAATACTCGAATCAGTATTATGCAGCTTTTTTGGCGAGTTAGAGTATTGTCAATAATAGTAAATGTCATTTATTATATGGATCAACAAAAGGAGCTATGGGAACCTTATATTCACGGATTGAACCATAAGTTTCTAAGAAGTGAGAGGAGCCATTTCCAATTCTTGGCAATATCAAAATATTGCAAACGCAATACAACAAAACAAAGAGATGCTTATACAAATAACAGGTCTGTGGAATACCATTATCGTTAAGAACACATCAAAACTATCTCATACTATCAAATCATGCATGGTAATGCAACTTGAAATTATGAGAAGAAGAAAAACGTTAGTTTCCATTTTAGTCATCATCATCGGAATAGTATTTCTTACCTAATACACCACAGATCATATTCGGATCATTAGTTGGGATAGCATCGTTTTTGGAAACAGCACCCGATTTCATCCAACAGGTACCACCATTATACGGAGTCCATGTAAAATGAGTGCATCCTTGAGTTTCAACGCATTTTCCACCGCACAGTTCTGATGAAACTCGAACGTTAAACAGATCATTTCCACGAAAATCACACGACTTGGCCCAATTATTTCCATTCCACTGGATGGTACCTTGTTGGCCGCCATTAACTACACCACAGACCATATTTGGATCATTGGTTGAGAAAGCATCGGTTTTAGAAACAGCACCGGATTTCATCCAGCAGGTACCACCACTGTACCCTGTCCATGTAAAATGAGTACATCCTTGAGTTTCACCACATTTTCCACCGCATCGTTCTGATGATGTTAGGGCATTAGACAAATCATTTCCACGAAAATCACATGACATAGCCCAATCATTTCCGTTCCAATTGACAGTGCATTTGACAAGATCAAGAAATAAAATATTTACGACTATACATCCAAACAAAGTCCAAGTTGACAAAATTTTGATCATTTTGTGACTCTGATTGTTGTTCAGTCAGTATTTATAGACGACTTCTAAAAACAAAATCTGTTTTCTTTCATAAAATACAAAGTCACACGTACTAAATCGCATTTGTTTTTTCAATAAAGAACAACAGCTCTGTAGAAGCACTATACTATACTATTATATAAATTCAATAATCATTCCACTTTGTATCCGGCTTTCTATACACAGTGGACATGCAATCTTTCCGGGAGGCTTATCAAACTGAAAGTATGTAGTGAAACGAAATAGAAATTTTGATCGATACAACTATCACACATCTGTTTATGGGAAAGGGTCCATTTGTTCTACGAAACATCGTAATTCTCTCTCCGAACCTGGTAAACAAATCTGACAAAGTATAACTTTTGTTCAAATTATTCGTCTTCTTTATCCGTTATTCTAATTCATGAGTGATGAATTTATTTGTTTGCTTTAGTACCATATTCATGTTAGTTACTAATATTTTTTTTTACTCTTAGATAACTTTCTCTCATATCATTACAACATAATGAGTAAGATGGTCTACTTACTAGTAAAGAAGAGGATTGTATTCGGCTATAGTTTTTGTTTGATCGATGATCATTTCTCTCATATATATATATATATGTATTACTCAAATGAAATTACTTGGTTATGTTCCCATTTGTGCTTGTTGACTCATAGAAAAGGAGAAACTCCTTTTCAAAAGGTAGGTAAAAAACCAATTAGTCGTGATCATTACATATTCATTTATAATTCGACTGTTCGTTATGTTGATACTTTATGTTATTTGTTTTCACCTTTATTTACCTTGACGTCTGGTCATAAACAAGCATGGATGAGAAAAAAAACGTAGAAGAATTAGCATGTTCTCTTTAAAAAAATACCCAAAAATGATGTATCAATATCATTTAATTTGTGGTTATTTCCAACATTTGTTATGTCGATACCAGAGCTCTGTATAAGATAGAATAATTTCCTCAAAATTTCTGTTCCATCCCATGATACGTTTAGCAAAAAATTTTACATTCCATTGTACCCATCCTTCTTATACGACGAACAGTCACTGAAAAAGACACTATTATTTCTTTTGTACTAGTTTGAACCAGTGAATTAATTTAGAATATAGTAAAGTTGATAAAAAGTATTCTGAAGATTCATCGTCGTCTCTATACAAAGAGAAGAGCAACCATTATGATATGAACTGAAGTATGATCATTACAAAAATAAAGAAAAGATTTACTGAAGCTGTCGATACACAAAAAAAAAGAACGTTCGTCAATAGTTTTCGACTGCTGATAGTAATATATAGTATTATATATAATAATTCAAATGGATACATAAATTTATAAAGGAAGAAAGGTGATAAACTCATAAATCGGTTCGTAAACTTTTCATACTGAAACTCTTTCTATTTTCTATCAAATGCAAGATCACGTCGAAATAAGCATTGTGCCTATGACGAAACTTATTATTTTTCAATTAATAAAGAAAACATTTTGAAGTTGACTTGCTTTCATGATCAATCTGATATGTTTCTTCCGATCGTAACAAGACAACTAGTAGATCATATAATCCTCTAGCATTGCTATAAATATCAAGGATTTTTTGCTTTGGCTTTTTTAGACTTCATATCCCTTCAATAGCAAGAGCTAACCTCTCACTATTCTTTCATCATGAAGAGCTCTTTACATTAGCTAGAAAATCCAGAAATGAAACTTCAAATATAGTATCTCTCGTTCAACAGTGATGATATTACACATTCAGACTTTGCTTTTAATGTCAAAATAACATTTCAGATAAATCGTTTTTTTTTGACATACCTCTGCGAAGACTCGAGTCGAACTTTTCGACGAAAATGAAATTGCTGTACGAATTCGGAACATAAATCGACCGACTCAATTGTTTATGGTTAAACACGATTTTGGTGTTGAGTTTTTTTTTAGTTTGAGTACTAATCGATGACACATAATCAACATATTATTGATTTCTAGTCGAAATTAGCATTTTAATGACACTCTGTGTGTCTTCAAGATGTCTTTTCCAATCGATATTTGAAATTTCAATGTTAAAGTTTTTAGCTAATGTAAAAAGCTCTTCATGATAAAAGAATAGTGATGTTTGTATTCGCTGTTGAAGAGATCAAAGACTCATACTAAGCATGTTCTGATAAACTAAAGATGAGTGTTTGAGATTTTCAAAAACTCATATTTCGACTGTAAAGTCAGAAGGACTAAAGCAAAAACATTATGGTATTTATACAAATACTAGAGAACCATATGACCTATTAGTTGCAGTGAAAAAAAATCTTTTTCTCACCCTCCTTTTATATAATTAGGAGCATGTTTTCTCATAAAAAAAATACTTACCTCAACGTGGTCTTTCATTTGATAGAAAATAGGAAGAATTTCAGTAGAAGAAGTCGTATGGATCAATTTATGAGCATATATCCTCCATTCTTGATGAATATATTTATTCAATTGAGTATTTTCCTTGTGTTCTTCACTTCGTGACTGTTAATGTTCTTTTCTTTCATACTGACACGCCATATCCACACCTATTCTTGAATTAGATTAGCATTCGATAATAAACGACAACGAATCTTCACAAACATATTATCAGTTATTATTAAAATCTAAATCAATTCATTAAATCTAACTATGACAAGAGAAACAATAGCTTCTTTTGTTTATTAATCCGTTCATTGTTATTCATTTTACTGTGCTGTAATAAATATGTCGTATGTGCATTTGTAGAATAGAATAAAATTTTATTTTCCCTAACTCCACTGAAATAGATAAGAACACCATCTATAGGAGAAAATTAGTTCTATTTTTCCTTCCTTTCTGACAAAAAAATGTTTACATAATTGGCTATGTTTATCCTATGGGATAGGACAAAAATTTTAACAAAATTATCCCATCTTACGTAGACCCCTTGTATTAACATAAATGAGGATAAAAATATATACAATTAAGTGATGTTGATTGATAATGGTTGAGAACTTTTTCAAAGAGGGAATGTTCTTCTACTAGTTTGGTTCTTTTCCCGTGTATGCATATTTATGAGAAGACATCAAAGCAAAACCATGTGGAAATAAATGTCATAGTGTATCAAAATATATATGATTCAGGAATGTTGACACATCATTTTTGTCTATGTTTTCAAAGAACAGATTCTCCTATTCTATGAATCAACAAGCATAAGTGGGAACATACCCAAGTAACTTCATATGAGCAGCATATATATATATATGCGTGATAAACAATAGCCAAACAAACAAAAACTACAGCCGAATACAACTGTATACTTTGACAGTAAGTAGACTATCTTATTCGTTATGCTGTGATCCTATAATTCTTCTTTTTAGTAATCGTCTACAAATACTGATTGAACAACAATCAGGAATCACAAAATGATCAAAATTTTGTCAACTTGGACTTTGTTTGAGTTTATAGTCGTAAATATATTATTTCTTGATCTTGTCAAATGCATTGTCAATTGGAATGGAAAAAATTGGGCTATGTCATGTGATTTTCGTGGAAATGATCTGTCTAATGCCCGAACATCAGGAGAAGTTTGTAGTAAAAAATGTTCTGAAACTCAAGGATGTACTCATTTTGCATGGAATCAGTATAACGGTGGTACTTGTTGGATGAAATCAGGTGCTGTTTCCAAAAATGATGCTTTCTCAACCAATGATCCAAATATGGCCTGCGGCGTAATAGGTAGGAGATAGTATTTTAATGATGACTAAAATACACAATAACGTTTTTCTTCTTCTCACAATTTCAAATTGCATCACGTGTATCCGTGAATATAAAATTCCTATAGCTCCTTTTATTGGTCCATATAATAAATGACATTTGCTATTATTGACAATACTCTAACTCGCCAAAAAAGCTGCATAATACTGATTCGAGTGTTCAATCTACCGTTTAATATGATATATCTTTCTTTAGAAAACAGCAATTCTGAATGGGTTCGCGTATGGGAAGATAATTTTGATTGGAATGGTGGTGTCGATCCTAATAGATGGGAGTTTGATGTCGGTGGAGGTGGCTGGGGTAAATAGTTTTGTTTTTTGTTCAATCTCTATCTTATTCTTATGTATCATGCATATATGTTACTAATTTAGGTAATAATGAACAACAATATTATACAAATAATCGATTGGAAAATGCACGTTGTGAACTATTTCCCGGTAGTAGAAATGGTCGTTTGATTGTTGAAGCACGTCGAGTAAGAGAAGAGCAAGACATTGTATTAAATCTATCTTACATATATATTTTTGTTGCAGGAAAACATGGAAAATAGACAGTATACTTCAGCTCGTCTCAAGAGCAAGGTTAAATGGACATATGGTCGTTTACAAATTCGTGCTAAATTACCTGATGGTCGTGGTCTATGGCCAGCTCTTTGGATGGTAACTTTTTCTTAAATTTCGTTTTTATTTAATCTATATAAAATACATGATAGTTGCCGGAAAAGTCCACACACAGTCATAAATATTGGCCAGATAATGGTGAAATCGATTTGATGGAACAAGTTGGTTATGATCCATTGCGTATTGTCTCAACTGTACACACACAAGCATATAATCACATGAGAGGCAATCATCCAAGTAATTCTATAATTGTCAATGATGCTGTTTCAAATTTTAAAATTTATACACTTGATTGGAATGTGAATAAAATTGAAATGTTTGTCGGAGATGATGCAAATCCATTTGCTAATCGTATCTTTGTTTGGAATAAAAGTGGGGATTGGAAACAATGGTAAGATATCAATTTTATCGATGAAAACATTTAAAACAAATAAGTTTTTTAAAAACTCTCACTATGTTTAGGCCATTTGATAAACCATTCTTTATTCTTATCAACATTGCTGTGGGTGGTAATTGGTGAGTATATCAATCTTGAGATGCTAAACTTTTTAAAATCGAAATTTTATGTTTGATTATGTCTCAAAATTTCGAATACTCTCTTGAAAAAAAAAAGAAACTGTCAGTAGTATTTGAAATAAGAGAAAAAGAGACAATTCTCACAAGATTTCTAAACATATTGATTTCTTTTTCAGGGGTGGTGCACGAGGTATCGATAACAATATTTTTCCTCGTCGAATGGAAATTGATTGGGTGCGTTTTTATCAACGACGCTAAACATCCGAAAATACATATAGACCTTACTCTATTCTACTCATTGTTTTCTTTCATGATGAATTTTAAAACATGAAATAATGTACATTGGTTCTTTTTTAATTTTCTATATTACTTTGTGAGAAATGAATAAAAATGTATGTGTAATATAAATGTAACGTAATATTTATCAAATTTTTAAATGTATTCATATGATATAGATAACAATTGATTTGCATCAAAAATAAAATGTCTAATGACTTTTTATAACTCTAGTCACTAAGCCCAGATATGTTGTTTGAAAAACTTTAATTTAGTGAAATATTAATCAGTATTATGTAATGAATCTATACTATAGAGGAAGAAGAAAAAAATACTTCTTGTTTCAGCTCCCTTGTTCTATAGTATGTTGTCCGAAGACAGATTCGAAAGCTTGATATTTTTCTTATAGCTATCACTCGAGCTTATCAAAAACTAGACAAAACAATCAATGTATGTCACCACACAGCCGGTATGCTATCTTACGACTGATCTACGACAAACAGGCGTTAGGCTCTTGTTCATAATCATTCTATGTCTGATGGTGTCAAGACTCGAATACAGTACCTTAGTCGTATGTGCCAAACAACTTCTTCACTCATTTATAGCGACTGCATCTATATTAATGTCACCATCTTCTTTTTCGTCTACTTAATATCTATTCATATTGTTTATATTATATATAAATCCTTATAATAAAGTATGAATACGAATGATCTGAATGGAGTATTTATAAACATGTAAAATCAAATTTTTTTGATCATTTTCACATATATTCCTTCATATTCAGCTCTACGATTATCACCACTCTCACCTGACTTAATACTAATTTCTTTTGTAACTACATGAATGATAATACTATACAAAACACTATTGATAAATGATAGCTGCTGTGTTTGAATTCGTAAAACTTTGATAAATATTTAATAATGAAATAAAAATCAAAATGAGATCAGAAACAGTTATACATCAAATAAATAATTATTTCTTGTCTGTAAGCAGCTATCACTCTTTAAAATAGGATTAATTATAACTACTACTGGTCTCTAAGGATGTGGGTGTGAACATGAATATAAGACTTTTTTTTACATCTACACCCACTTGATCATATTTGTACTAGGCAAACTCTGTAATACACGTATTGATAGTAAAAATATTGCCCCTATCGATTATCTAGTACTAATAAAGATTAAAATATTCTTTTACCTAAAAGTTCTGTCATTGAGCGACCTCTCTTAATTTTCTTTTCATTCATATCAATTGATTTGTTAAAAAGCATCCAAAATGTCCATCCATATTATTGTTCTCTTAATTTACAACAATATCTTTAATTTCTTTGTGAACGATCTTTATAATTAACAGATGACAAGTTCCACATCATCTGCACTTGTTATACATCATTCAAATCCTGCTCATGGACATCAACCAGCACCTGATGTTATTGTAGATGCTTTACCTTATTATGATAGTGGATATGATGAACCGGGTGCACGTGAAGCTGTATGTTTTTTGCTTCTCATTTTCTTAATATTTTAATTTATGTAATGATTTTAGGCTCTTAGTTTAGTAGAAGATGAAACTCGTCGTTATAAACCAACAAAAAATTATTTAGAACAACTTGGTCAACCATTATATCATGCATTTGAAGTAATATTAATTTTTTTTGAATTTTTTTTGTTTTTTTCATTTATTTATTATAATAGACAGAAATAATGAAAACAGAATTTGAACGACTTTCTAATCGATTACCTATGGAAATGTTAAATATGAAACGGTATGATAATAGAAATTTTTATTTGTTTTTTTCTTCATATCTTTTTTGTTTTTTAAAGTTATGAATTACCAACACCACCATCTGGTAAACAAACTGATTTTACAGCATGGAATGAATGTGTTGAAAATTCATATGCTCAACTTGAACATCAACAAACAAGGTAATGAAAAATTTCAAAAACAAAAAAAATAAATATTTATCAACTTTTTTAAGAATTCTTAATCTTGAATTAATGTGGGATTATGGAGCAAATACATGGAAAATTTATAATACAACATTACAAACAATGTTAGAACAAGCACAAAAACAATTATTAGAACTTCGGTAAAATAATATTTTTTTTTTTTTTTGAAATTCAATTTATCTATTTCTTTTTAAGAAAACATATTCAAGAAATAAATTTTAAACGTAAAAATGAACAAACACAAGCAGGTAGTAAATTAAATGCACTTGAACAAACGTAAGTTTAATAAAAATGTTTTTTTTTTTTTATTTTGATATTTATTATTTATATTTAGATGGGTTGGTCTTGTTGGTAAAAATTATGAAATTGAATGTGCTATCAATGAATTAGAAAAAGAAGTTATCAATTTAAGAAAACAACGACAAACAAATGGAGTTAATTCATCAGAACAATGAGAAACAAATAAAAAATTCTGTTTTGTAAATTTTTTTTTTTTTTGTTAAAACTTGAAAATAAAAAAAAAGAAGAAGATTTATCATAAAACTAATCAAAAGAAAATTAAAATTTTGCTACAAGATTATAGATCTAATTAAAAATCATATTCGAGAAGAGATTTTATTTTAGGCTTTTGTTTGTTAAAATTTTTTTTTTTTCGAATTTAGTAATCTATCAAATATGATAGTGGATATAAACTTAATATTAATATTCTAGATTAAACAAAAACAAATGATTCCTATTAGTTGGAAAAATTATATGTTTGGTAGTTCTTTGATATTATTATGTTGTCCATGTTGTTTTTTACAATTATTTCTAAATTTATTTGGTATTGGATGTGCTGGATTAAATACATTTCTTTTACCCTATAGACCTATATTTATTTCATTTAGTATTATTTCATTAACTTACTCATATTTTCGTTATCGTCCATCAAAATATTATTTTACTGTGATTGTTATTTTAGCATTATTTCTAACATTTTCATCTGATATATTTCGATTATATAATAATCAATTATCTACGAATGATACATTAAATACCAATGTCATCATAACACATTGGCAAATAATTGGAATGCATTGTGAATCATGTCGTTTAACTGCTATTCGATCATTAAAAAAACTAAATGGAATTCTTAGTGTTAATGTTGATCTTGATTCTGGTCAAGCTGATTTAATTACACATATTCCTATTGAAGATGATATAATCATTCAAGCTATACAATCAGCTGGCTTTCAAACTTATAAAATAATATGAAGTTTAAAAATTCTACATATTAAAAAAAAAAAATAAATAAATATTAATTTACTATATCATTTTGATTGAATATTAAAAAAAAAACAAAAAGTCTTGATCTTCATTATTGTTAGACATTCTTTCGATATAGATAATCAACAATATGATCAATAGAATACATATGTTAATGTTTTGTCCTTTTTGTTCGAACAATCATTTTAGTATTCACCTTTGTTTTTTTTTTACATTTCTTCAATAACAAATATTCAAATAAGAGTAATTAGACAAATATAACAAATGATACTTCACTTAATTCAATATCAACATTAAATAGAACTATACATCCTTAGTTGTGAATTCATTTGACTAGATTACAAATATTCAATGTTGGTGTATATATTGAACAGGGAGCTACACTGACATCGACTCTATAAAAATATGCGTTTTTTTTTTAATATTGTGATGTGTCCCAAGGCTTCAGTTAACACTGGTGTCAGAATGCACTAATTAAACTCCGTCAGTAAACTGAAGTTACATATTTCTAGATTAGGTTTCATTTTCTTTTTTCATGTTATTAATTCACCAGGTATTATCTTAGGAATAGAAACACAGAAAAAAACTAAACCAATATATATATATCTATGCTGGCTGAAGAATAGTTAACATCTGTATAGATGAGTTTTTCAATTTGAATTTGTTTTCTTTTAAACGACTCGGTAAGTTTTAACTAAAATAAATAGATATTATATTCATTCGCAAAAATAACCTTGATAATATATATAAATAACCAAAAAAAAATGAATGACAATCATATTTCATATTGATAAGATATATGATACTTCACGAACATAATCTAGTGTACTTATTTGATTATAGCCATAAATTTATTGCACGTCTAATGCCTTGTCAAAGTAATAATGCTAGTTGAGACACTCTTCATTTGAATTTATTTTTAAGATCAAGATAAAGCATGAAAAAAAAAAGAAGATTAAACCTAATGAAATAATCATTCGAAGTAACTTAAATGTATACCTAACAAAAAAAATAAATATATAAAATCTAATTTATTTAATAATAGTTATTTCATAAAAATCAACAAATAAACTTTTTCGATAGAGTGATAAGAACATAATTGATTGCTAAAAGCTATCATTAGAAGACATGCTTTTTTTTTGTATTCTGTTTACGATTATCACTGTGATCGTAAGTGACAGGACACGGAGTAAAAATATCGATCAAAAGAAAAGAATCAAAACAAAATGATTGTTTATCATTCGATAAAAGAAAATTTCAAATAGAACACTTTTCTTTTGCGTATAATGTATTGTTGCTTATAATAAATACACAATAAAACATAGGATTATATCAAAGACCGATATTCGATGAAAGATTTACTACAAATCTAATTGGTAGCGACATCTGTTGTACATATATTAAAAATCTTCACAATATTGGTTATTTTTCAATTTATAAATTGTATAATTAACACTCCATTCGTTTTGGTACTATTTATAGATATTATAATCAAATTCATTGGTACAGACAATATGTATGAAATTTAGTTATTATATTATTATATACCAGAATATCTTGCAACAGATTGGATTTGTTGTTTTTCTTTATGACAAAATGTTTTATTTGATATATTTATTGAGAACAAGACAAAAAAGAAAAAACGGAAATTCATGATCATTTGATAAGAAGTCATGCAAATCTATATAAATGGGATGTTAGTATTGTGATAACTAATATCTCAAATTGAGTCAAGTTAGTTTGACAGCTGTTGCTTTTACT